GCCCGCTTGTGTTTTTGCAGGTGTGATTTGGAAATCTGAGCAGAAGAAGAAAGCACTGCTGCTGTGCTAACCCAGCCCCTGGCACAGCAGAGCTGCTCCCTCAGTGGGTTTCCCATGTGTGCCCTGCAGTGGGCTGTGCCCCACCACTATATGCCCATCTTTGCTAATTTAGAATAAGCTTCTGGGTATACCTCAAAGAGAAAACTGCCATTTATTTAGGGTATGCTGACCTGGTAAATGACACTCAGGCATCTTGCTATAAGAAGTGCAGAGTGAAGTCAGTGATGGAGTATCTCACCACTTAACCGTAGTTCCACAGGAGGTGCAAGAGCGTGCCTTCTGACACTGCTCATATTATTGATAACAGTACCAAGTGCTCCTGCATCTCTGCCCAGTGTGCACACATCACCTCCACCACCCCACAGGCATCTTCTATGCCACAGCATATCTCCTGCAGTAAAGTCAGATGTGAGGGCTGTGGTGAGTGCTCCCATGAGATGCTGGGGTTTGAGAGACTCTGTCACCTTGTGTCCAAGGCAATGTCTCTTGGTATGCAGCTGAGAAACCAAGGCCAGTGGAGGTGGTATGGGTGCAGGGGGAGTTTCCTGCATTTTCTGCTAAAAGCTAATAAAAGTTGGTAATTTCTTCCTCACGTATTTACACCCTCGTGGGCTGCTGACAAGATGTGGTATGTGGAGTGTGGAGGGTTCTCTTTGCACTGCGGGCACTTGCACTGTGTGAGGCACAGTTCCTGTGCAGGGACACCGAGCTCATGCTCCAGCTATTTTTCCAGGCCACTATCACTTTTGGAAAGTAGCCACTGGCACAGCTATTCCTAAATATGTTGGCCTATGTCAGTTTTCCCTTCCATAAAACAAATGGGACAGTACTTGGAGAGAGATTTCAAATGACATCTCCCAGGAATCTGGGTGTCACAGAGTCTTTCCAGCACCACTTGAGCAGAGGCACCAGCACATGGCGCATCCTGGTGCCGGTGCAGAGGTGACCGTGGAGGAAATAGTTGGAAATAAAGCCTTTGAAACAAAGATGGGTGTGAAACTTCTAGCACCCATCTGCACTCTGCAAGGACAACTGGCAGGGAAGGGAGGTGCAGCGTGGGCACTCCTGCGTGTGGCAGTGCACTGCTGTGCATGCTGAGCTCCCCTCTCTCCTCTGCCCCAGCCCCTCTGCTGGCTCCCTGTCCTCCGAGCTGAGAGCACTAGGCAGAACGTGCACATGAGTCTTGCCTGTCCTTTTGGTTTGTCCTCGGTCTCTTCTTTTATATTTCCTCGTTTCACATGTCTGTGTTTTCTCTCCTCCATGCTATGGCAGTGGTGCTCCATGCTGATGAGACAGTACGTGGTACAACCGCAGGCAGTCATTTTTCAGGTAATTTCCAGGATACTGAACACCTGACTCTTGCTTTTTCACCAACCAAGCAGGCCAGGGTTCCTGCTTCACAGGGACAGGCCCGATGGTCATGCAAATGCTGACTCGCAAGTAGAGGTGGCGGAGCCAATTCTGAGACCCCTGTGCTGCAGCACTGATCCCTCCAGCTGCTTGCTGCTCTGTGTGTGTACTCACATGCACCACGAGAGGGGATCTCTCTGTGAGATGCTGAGCACAGGGCTCAGTGTCTCAGCCTGTCAGCAGTCACCTTCTGCAGCAGGATGCTTCCTTCTCTTCCCAAAGCTGCCTGCACTGCTGCTGCATCGGCCTAGTGCTGGTCCCAGCCATGGCCCAGCTGCTTCGTGCAGGTGATGACAGGGGCAGTTCAGGGGCTGGCTTCTGCCCTGCACCACGTGGCGGCAAGGAGGTGGTGTTGGGTCCAGAGCAGCTGGGACTCAGCCCACGTCTGCTGCTGGTGAGTGCCTTGTGTGCAGTTATTGTGGTGGCCCTTCTATGGTTTGTTGCCCTCCTGTGGCTTGTCAGCCTGGCTGTGGAGTGGGCAGCAGCTACTGCCTCTGAGGAGGGATGCAGGTGTGTCATGGGAACAGGGGAAGTGCTTGAAAATTCCATTGTTTGCACTTCTACAGCAGCAGGTGCAGGCTGGACTCCATCTCTGGAGCTCATCAGGCTCCTTCTCCCTGTGCAAGGTGTCATGAAGGAGCAGAGGTGTGCCATTGTCCCTTCTCCCAGCAGAGTGTGCTATACCCTTCTAGCTATTTGCTTCTGCTGCTGTAACAGGTGAAATCCCTCTGAGCTTGATAAAAGCAAGTTCACTTATGTGGTGTTGTCAGATCATTGCAGTTAAAATTTGAGACCTACTCCTGTTACAGTTTCCTCCTAGATTAGTTACTAGCAGCTCAAAACCGACGGAAGCTGTGATGCTTTGACATTTGCAGCGTACCTGAGGATCTCATGGCAGGGATTTTGCAGGAAGAGACTTGTAATGCCTCAGCTGGGTGTGGGCGAGGAGCAGCAGCCCCTGCAGCACATTTTGGCTGTGAGGGAGTTAAACATGAGGTGTCTCTGCAAGACTGCAACTGTGCTTTCATTCTTCCGGTCTCTTTTCAGATCGGGGCTTCAGCATGCCGGATACACATATGCAGGGGGATGTTGGGACTGCAGTCACAGAACAGTGCGGAGCAGTGTGAAGGCTGGCAGCTCCATGCAGAGCAGGGGCTGAAGAGCAGGACAGAGACCATGCAGCCTGCTGCGGCCCTGTAGGAAGCAGGAGGGCTGCCATAGAGAAGGCCAGATGGGGCTTCTGTGATGATTGCTCTGGGTAGGATGCAGGACCAGAAGAAGCAGCTTTGTCTGGTTGCGCCTGCAGGAGAATGGCTGGAAGCATCTCTGCAGAGGAGTGCTCCACCAGAAACTGTGCTCCAAAGGGTCAAAGGTACCAGAAGCACCGCTGAAGCAGAGATGTGGGCAGTGCGTATCTCTGAGGAGCCAGTGTCAGAGGAAAGGGACTGGGTTCATGAAGGTGAGGGAAATGTGAGGGTGAGGAGAGGTTTGGATGACAAATAAGCTGTAAGGGCTGAGGAACAGAACAAAATCTAAATGCAACTGAGGAATGCAGAAGATGATGATAAGTCTTTGATGATTCGTTCCTGATGAGAAGTCTTTCAAAGAACCATAGAACTGTTTGAGTTGGAAGAGAACCTTAAAAGTCATCTAGTCCAACTCCACTGCAATGAACAGGGACACTGGGCTCAGAGCCTCATCCAGCCTGACCATGAGTGTCTCCAGGGATGGGGCTTCACCTACTCTCTGGGAAACCTGTTCCTGTGCCTCTCCATCCTGACTGTAAAAAACTTCTTCCTCATATCCAATCTGAATCTTCTTTCTTTTAGTTTGAAACTTTTTCCCCTTGACTTGTCACAGCAGATCCTGCTAGAGAGTCTGCCCTTTCTTTCTTAAAGGCCCCTTTTAGATACTGAAATGCCACTCTCAGGTCTGTCAGAGCCTCCTCTTCTCCATGCTGCACAGCCCCAGCTCTCAGCCTGTCCTTGTAATGCAGGTATTCCATCCCTGAGATCATTTCTGTGTCCTTCCTCTGGACATGCTCCCACAGGTCCATGTTTCTTTGATTTTTTTGCAAAGTTCCTTGCAGCACTGATCCATGCACAGGGTGGAGAGAATGGGTGGCCAGCAGCTGTTCCTTCTGGCAAAAGGTATTTGGCATGGTCTTGCGGAAGAGGTTTGTACGGCAGATCTCTCAAGGTGATGTGGGCACTGGTGCCTCACACAGATTGCAGCCTCAAATGAAATGTGTTTCTGTCAGTATGAACTTGCTAATAATGAACTATAAAACTAAATTCACTTTGCCTTGAGTAATAGCTGAGTAACAGAGACGCAAACAGGTACACACCTGACCCAGAGCACTCAGCTGTGGCCAATCTCAGATTGTGTGGTGGGCATCTCCGGCACAAAGAAACCTGCAAAGACAGAGTTACTCAAGAAGTGTTTTGTTCACTTAGATAAAAAATATTAAAGTGAATATTTTTATATGATAGCTCAAAAGATCACTGCAGGCTTAAGTAATTACTCGTTACTTCATCCGCAGTGATACTGTGGGAATCCACCTTGGAGGTTTTATTAATTTTGTCTGTTCTTCACTTGAAGTCCTAGTTCTCTGACTGTTGTGGACTTATCTCAAAAATAAAGGATTAAAACTAGTGAAAATAGCAATAGGGAAGGGAGGACATTGAAAAGAAATGTCCTTGTTTTGTGTGAATGATCCTGCAATGAGAAACCATGAGAAACACTAATGAGGATGAGCTTTCTGCCATGTACATGAGAGTCTTTCTGGGTGTGTGGATTGGCCTCCCTGCTGTAGATGGCCATAGCTACACAGACACCAAGAGGATTAGAGGACAGGAGGCGTCTGTTTTCTGAGGACGTGTGCTCAGCTAGTGAAACTTTGGCTGTTGTGCTTAAGGAATTTCCATGAAATGAGAGCATCCTTACAATGGTCAGGTTATTCATTCTTAAATAACTTGGCTTTTGAAACAGTTGATTTCAAATCCATTCATTAATCAAACACTTCTATTTAAGTGCACTCTACTTCTTATGAAATAACAAGAAAATGAAGCACGCCTAAGAAAAGCAGGCAAACAGGACATTCTGGTTCCCACCTACTTGCTCCACTGAATTAAGGAGAGTTCAACTTAATAGATGTGAATGGTTTTCTCTGACAAGCAAAAAAATTACACTTGTACCTTACAGGGCCAGTGCACTTTGCTTTACAAAACTTCCTTTTTATGGAAAGCTTTGTGCCACACTGATGAGTTTAGCTTTCATTTTTATCAGGAAAGCCCCGTTTGGTGTTTTCCAAGAACATTGGTGATAAGCGCACACCCATTTATTTTTCTGACTGCTTAACACTATGGTTTACACTGGCCATGTATTTACTGCCTTTGAAAAACTGGGCAATCTGACTGAACAAGAGCTTTTAAGGGGTTCCTGCATTGCAATTAGTATTTGCCATGCAAGGAAAAACTGTTGAATAGTGCATTTATTGTGGCTAAAATGTCTTTTGATTCTTCTTCCAGGCAACTGAATACTCAGCCATGGCATCATTAGCTGGAGGACTGGATGACATGAAGGCCAACATAAGCAGCCCAACTTCTGCAGATTTAGGAGCAAGTGTTCCTGGACCACAGTCGTACCCTATCGTAACAGGTAAGCAGTTCTGTGTACACCAATAAGTGTTGTGGAGCAGTATGTGCACACACCGGGGTAGGGCGATGCTCTTCCTGAAGGAGTGATGTCAGATGTGAAATTGTTCCTTCCAGTCTCCTTGTAACTGTGTGATTTTATAGCAGCTCTGGTGAAAGTCAGGCGCACAGCTTGTATACATCGTTAGTGTTCTCTCTGAGCCAACTGATGAAGCATGCCCTTTGACCATAAAGGTATATGGCCCTTCACTCCAAACCTGCATTCTAGATACCCCCATATCACAGAAAAACAGAATGCTTCCTCTGCTTTTGAGATTGGTTGTTTGTTTTCCTGTTGGTACCATTTTTGACTGCATGACATTTTTATGACACTTTGAGCTAGCTTGAGTTTTGAGTGCTTTTGACTTCTACAAAGATTTTGGACCACTTTGGGCCAAACAAAGGTTCTGCACCACTTGACAGGACCTTACCTGTGCACTAAGACTGAGTAATTAAATGGAAAGCGATGGTTTCTTCCGGGATCGTGTGCATTTCTTCAGCAGGTGAAGAGTAGGAGCTAAGGAACAGCTGGGATTTATAATGGTGACGTGGTTACATGAGACTGACCACATCGTGGGGCAGTGGGGAAGGAGATAGTCCCAGTGAAAGAAAACTGTCTAGAAAAGGAATTATAGGAATCAGGGAAAAAAAAAAAAAAAAATTAAGGATCTGTACTTCCTGTGTATGTTCCCCTGTGTGTTACTTTTTTTTGGTTTAAGTATTTCTCATGCTTGTCTTATTACTCCTGCTGCCCCATCTGTGTGTGAAACTATGCAGAAAAACATATAATGAGACTGAACTGTCCCAGAATAACCCAGAATTCTTGCAGCCCCTTGTCCCCAACTGAAGAAACTCTCCAATAAGTTACTTTTAGGCCAGAGCCCAGCTGGAACAGCTGCTTGCAAAGCAAGTCTTTGCACAAACAAGCTCAGCTCTCTCTTCAAAACAAGATACTTGTGGCTACAGCCACAGTATCAGTTCCCTTAAAACTGTCAGAATACTTTCTTCCATCCTTGGATCATTCTTCAGTCAAGGGCTGTAGGTCCATGACACAGGAGTGACTGGGTCAATGCTATCAAAAGCAATTGAGTCTGAAATGCTAAGCCTTTGACTCATCAAATTCAAGGCTAATTGAATCCTGCTCTTAGAGTATGTTTAAAAATAATCTTCCATTCACGGAGCCATGGCCACTGAAGCTGCAGTGGAAAGCAATGTCAAGCTATAAGTAATTTAGTGTAATGGAGTGGGAGAGAAGGGGAATTTCTTTATTTGGACCCAAATTAGCAATATATTTTATAATCAAGCTTTTATTCTAACTCACATTTCTTTGGCATTTCAGAATGTGTTTTGCCAAAGAAAGAAACATAGGTAGAGTTCATACTGAACTAGCAAAAATTATTTCTGGTTATAATCTTCTTTCAAGGGCCTCTGTGGGACACATGTAGGTGCACACAGATATTTACACCTTGACAGATTCACAACCCCTTTGCTTTGAAACTGAAGCAGCGACACTACGGAACATGGTTAGAGGGCAACACCAGTAGTAGTGGATGATTGGACTAGATGAGTTTAGAGGTCTTTTCCAACATTAATGATTCCATGATTCTATGGCTACAGTGACAGCAGCAGCTGCTCAATTGCTGCAGCTGTTGGCAAAGCATTTGTGGTGGGTGCAGATACTAAGGGCCTCGAAAGAGCAGATCACAGCTCATACAAGTGTCAGTCTGAGGCCTCTGGAAGCGGGCAAGATGCATCCAGCAGTTCCCGAATAACTTCCTGCTGAACCTACAGGGCCACCAGCAGGATTTCCCTTGTTTTGTAAGCTCAACCAGCACGGCAGGGGCCTGGTAGGTGGTGAGGGTAATCACTCCTTCATGGTATTTCAAAAGACAGGAATACTCCAGGTAATGCTTATTGTTTGCTTTTCTTCATTTAGAAAAACCTCTAGCTAGAAACTAATAATCTGACTTGCCAGAAAGCTGTGATGAAAGCTTTATGCATAACAATCATCTTAGGAAGCCTTAAACATAGAATAGGCATGAATGGTTACTTTTCACCAGCAGCAGGGATACGGTGAAGTCTTATTCTTAAACCACCTTTACTACATAGGGTTTCTGAAATCATCTTGTTTGTATTTGACTCCTTGTGATTTGATTGGGGAAGATTGAGTGGTAACTCTCAAGGACTTGAGTAATTGCAGGTATCTTGACTCCATGTGTAAGGTAACAGCAATGGATTAAGTGCTTCTTGTGGTCTTGCATGAGAACTCTAAGTTCTCATTCCAAGGACTCTACAATTCATCCTGAGTAGGCTGGAGCAGATTTGCTATGAAAAAGAGAAACAGATCATTAAGAAGTAGGTGAAAAGAGGGAAAAAATGTATACTGCCACTTCAGTGCAATGCAGTTGGCTTGGGTGCTTCTTTCTATTTACTCTTTTTAGTAAAAGAATATGGCATATACTGAAATGGCAAAATAGTATGTCTTGATTTAAAGCATAAAAAGAACCTGATGCGACCTGCTGGAGAGGAGCTCTGCAGAGAGGGACCTGGGTGTTGTGGTGGACGACACATGGTCAGCCATGAGCCAGCAGTGTGCCCTTGTGGCCAAGAGGGCCAATGGCATCCTGGGGTGCATTGAAAGAGCGTGGCCAGCAGGTCGAGGGAGGTGATCCTCCCCCTCTGCTCTGCCCTGGTGAGGCCTCATCTGGAGCTCTGCGTCCAGTTCTGGGCTCCCCAGTACAAAACAGACAGGGATCTCTTGGGAAGAGTCCAGCGGAGGGCCACCAAGATGGTGAGGGGCCTGGAGCATCTGTGCTATGAGGAAAGGCTGAGTGAACTGGGTCTGTTCAGCCTTGAGAAAAGAAGGCTGAGAGGGGACCTGATCCAGGTCTATCAGTATCTGAGGTGTGGGGGCAGAATGGCGAGGCCGGACTCTTTTCAGTGGGGAGTGGAGACAGGACAAGGGGAAACGGCCGGAAACTGCAGCATAGGAAGTTCTGCACCAATGTGCGAAGGAACTTCTGTGCAGTGAGGTGAGGAGCACTGGAACAGGCTGCAGGGAGGGGGGGAGTCTCCTGCTCTGCAGATGTTCCAGACCTGCCTGGATGCCGAGCTGTGCGACCTGCTGTAGGGAACCTGCTTTGGCAGGGGGTTGGACTCGATGAGCTCTGGAGGTCCCTTCCAACCCCTACAATTCTGTCATTCTGTGAAGCTCACAGGTATCCTGAAGATTTTTTTTTCTGTGTTTTTCAAGAGGCTGCTCTGGGCAGAAGCATGACATGATTTATCTGGTGTGTTGTTATGGGAATCTACCTCAGGTGCTGTTGATGCTGGTGCCTTCCAGAAGCAGGTCTGTCCTTAGGTCTCAGCCAGAAAGATGACCTCAAGTGAGCAGGTGCCTTGTACTGCCTCTCAGATCATGGAGCTTCCTTTTGTTGCTGCTAGGATGTTTCTGTGTTCCTTCAGCTCCTAACACCAGCTCTTTCAGAGGCCTTTTATGAGAAATCTTGTGTTTCAGACTGCATTCATGTGTAGTCTCTTCAGTTCTGTATAAGAAAGATCCATCCACAGTTAAAAGAACTGTCACTGCCTCCTTATCTTTCTTACTTGGCGTGACTAACAACTTTCTTATGTTGCAGTCTCTTTAGTGTTTGGTGAGCAGACTGACTGCATTACTCACGGCATAACTGACTATCAAAATGATGCTGCGAACCTTTCTATGTATTTCACCTCTGTTCTCCTTCTAACATCATATACACTTGAACAAAAGCTCTAAATGTGGAATTTACTTCTTCTCATTGAGTAAGTGGAGCAAGCTTTATGAATAGCTAGCCTACAAAAAATGTGCTGTTGGTCTTAAATGTGACAAGCTGAGATCTCTAAGAAGACACATTTTACCAGGTGTAAGTAAAAGCAGGTGTTTGTATCTCTACTTTGATACTGCTGTAAACTTTTCTAACACCAGCATTCATAAAATTTAGATTTACAGAAGAGCATGAAAACCCTTTTAAAACCTGTGCTATTGGATATATTTTCAGGAAAGATTTTCAGACTGTTATTTTCCAGTTTTCTTTTGTAACCCACACCATAGCAGTTCTTCTGGAGGCACCCAGAAGCCCCCGGCACGCTCTGAGCCCACTGACGTTGAGCATGTACCATACAGCTGAGTTCTGCTCTGCTCTGAGGCTTTTGTAACAATCTCAGGGTTTACACAGATTTCAGAGGCAGAAAGATCTAAGCAGCAAGCCACGCTTTTTGTCTAAAACAAACAAGGTGTGTGAATCACAGTGCACTTGGCACAGTTCTCGTCATAGTTCTGGACATACCTCTGTTTTCTCCCACAGATTAATGGATGCTTTTAGTCATACCTCTTTTTATTATGTCAGGGCAGGGAATTCAGATGAGGAGACATATTTGTCAACCCCACTTTCACTCTTAACCAAAAGCTTCATACTGCTATGGGTCTTGTTTCTGTAGTAGATGCCACTGAAAACTAGAGGGAGATGAAGAATGCTATACAATAAACAATAATTGTTTTTAGTGCAAAGTCCAGCAAACATTCGCTTAAACAATCTAGTCTGCCTTCCAGGAATATTTCTGTTGTCTTCAGTCTGATCAAAACTACGGTGTAGCTTTTCCAATCTGGGACTCATTATCTGTGGAGGTAGGAGAGAAATAAGATGGGCAACAGCTGAAAAAGCATTAGCTTTGTGTCATCTCTACTTTAGTGATCAGTAGTTAACTCAGGGGAGAAGTTCTGCCAGGAACAGGTGCTGGGCCTTGGGCCCTTGTCTTGCAGGCAAGTGCCTGAGACTCACGGGTTTCTGATGTGTTTTTTCCTGCAAATTGCTTTTTGTTGGAGGAGGAATGGCTAACAAAAATTCTGTGTTTTTTTTCTTGAGATTCAAAGTGTTGAGTTGCTTTTCTCCACCCTTTTTGAAGGCTTCCACATTTCCTGGCTGATGT